CAACCCCAGAGGGAGAGAACCCCAGCCATATCCAACAGGCTGACATGGAAAGGGGGTAATGGGGTTACGATGGGCTCAGGTTACGATGGTAAATTTAGTTTTCGAAGTGACAACAACATGATGGCAACCTAACCTGATGGGACTGACTCCTCCATCCCACCTCATCTTGACGTCATTTATTTCTACCTACTACATTTGCCGCCAGCCCTGCCAAGGTCATGGGCATCAAACAAGAGGGGCTACTCGGGAGGGGACAGGAAAGGGACAGGGCTTGGGACCAGCAGCCCGCTTGGAGAAGGGAGGTGTGAGGGGCACGGAGCCTGGCAGCACCAGTTCAAGCTTGCCGCTCCGGGATGGTGGTTTAGAAGAGGACATTTACGAGATGTGTAATCAACATGCCTTCTATGGCATGGGTGGTATAGTTGAATTCCTTAGTTGAATAAGATTCTAGTTCAGCCTTTAAAAAATGGATATCGGGGCGCCTGGGTGGCTCAGTCGTTAAGCGTCTGCCTTCGGCGCAGGTCATGATCCCAGGGTCCTGGGATCGAGCCCCGCATCGGGCTCCCTGCTCGGCGGGAAGCCTGCTTCTCCCTCTCCCACTCCCCCTGCTTGTGTTCCCTCTCTCGCTGTGTCTCTCTCTGTCAAATAAATAAAATCTTTAAAAAAAAAAAAATGGATATCGATATTCTTGTGAACGGTACATTATTTCACTCTTTTGTTCCCAAAAAACTCCTATCATTTTATAGCAGGAAAACTCTACACATGTGTTGTGGACACATGTTGATCTCAGGTCTTTACCAGTAAGCTTTGTCCCCGGGGAAGGAAGAAGAAAATCACTCAAAGATCAGGCTAAGGATGGCCCGAGATGTAGACTTGATTCAATCAGACTTCAGTGTGACTCCATAAGAACCATCATTCCACCTTCATCCTGTGTGTGCCTGAGCCTCACACTGTCCTCCCGGGGCACGCCGGGGCTGCCATGAGACCTGGGGGTGCACGGACATCATATGGACACATAGACATTTTTAGAGAATTCACTTACTTTAATTCTTCTTTCCAGGCGATAAAATAACTAAAAAATCACAAACACATATTTGACTCTATTTGCGATTACTAATGACCCCTATGACAATGAGCAATGTGATTTTCTTGGAAATGAAATTACCTGTCGCTTTTCTCTTTAACAAATCAATTTGTGATGGTTCTGAGATTATTTCAGACACATAGGTATTATGTATTTCTTCTCCTTTAGGCATCAGAGAATTTTATAGTGGGCCACGCTAGCCCTGGAAAAAGCACTTAACGTCTCCTTGGTTCAGCCCTATTGTGTAAAGCTGTTGGCAATGTCTAAGATAGGAATGGGCGGGACGGGGGGAGGATTGTTTCATCTGAGTTCCTTCCATTGTATGTTTGCTGAATGAGTGTGAGTTTAGTCCCAGGAACTTTGGACCCAGGACTGTTGATTGGGCTTGCTCCTCCCCTGCCCAATGACTGCCGCAGTAAAAGGATTCCAACATTTGGGGAAGGAGGAAAGTCTCATCTCCTAGGGCTGCTCTAACACAATACCATAGTCTAGGGAGTTTAAACAACAAGTATTTGTTTTCCACAGCTCTGGAGGCTGAAGTCCAAGATCCGTGTGTTGGCAAGTTTGGCTTCTTCTGAAGCCTCTCTCCTTGGCTCGCAGAAGGCCACCTTCTCACTGTGTCTTCACATGGGGAAGGGCCAAGGGGCTCTCTGGGGTCTCTTTTATAAGGGCACTAATCCCATCCTAGGGGCTCTACTCTTATGACCTCATCACCTCCCAAAGGCCCCACCTCCTCACACCATCACACTGGGGGCGGGTGGGTACCCACGGAAGAATCTGAGGAGACACAAACATTCAGTCCATAGCCATGAGAATTAGAGAGACCAAGGACAGGCAAAAGGCAAAACGTTTTATATGGGAAATTATCCCTTAGCAAGAACTCATGGAAGTGTTCGGAACAATGACCTGTCAATTTGGTACTAGGTGGCAATGATAACTCTAAGAAGGAATGTTCATTTTAGTTTCCACTTTTGCTGTAGTCAGGATTTTCATTCAATTAATAACATGTTCATCGATTGCATTTTGTGCCAATAGATGAAGGAGGTAATCAGTCTTTCATCCAGGCACTCGGAGGGCACAGCTGCCCAGAGCCGCACAAGCTTCACTAGCGGGGGTGACAATGGGGTCACTTTACATTTTATACAGGGTTGGGATTTTTGGTATTCATTATAAAATATAAGAAAGATATGGGCAATAATGTAACGAACTCCCAGATTTCTCAAGTCTTCACAGTTCGATAGGTATGTTTCAGACTTTTTTTAAGAAATTAAAATTTACTGGTAAGTTTGAAGTCCCTTATTGAGCATTTTCCTCCCCCTTAGAGATCATCAACACCTGAATTTGTCATCCCATTCCTATTTTATGCTACATTTATGTATTGTTTTCATAAATTCTATACTGGGTTGTTTTGCCTGTTTTGTTTTTTTTTTCTTGTTCAAGTATGGTTAACATGCAGTGTTACATTAGTGTCAAGTGTAAAATATAATGATTTAACAATTCTATATATTTCTCAGTGCTCTTAATCCCCTTCATGTACTTTACCCATCCCCCACCCTCCAAATCTGGCAACCACCAGTTTGTTCTCTGCAATTAAGAGTCTGTTTTTTGTCTCTTTTTTTCTTTGTTCATTCCCTACATGAGTGAAATCATATGATGTTTTTCTTTCTCTGGCTGATTGACTTCACTTTTAGCATTATACTCTCTAGGTCCATCCATGTTGTTGCAAATGGCAAGGTTTCACTCTATTTTGTGACAAATATTCTTATATATATATATATAACACATCCTCTTTATCCATTCATCTATCTATGGACACTTGGGTTGATTCCACATCTTGGCTATTGTAGATAATGCTGCAGTAAACATAAGAGTGGGCGGCGGGGGAGCAGAGAGAGAGGGACAAGTAGACTCTGCACTGAGCACAGAGCCCGACAAAGGGATCAATCCCAGAACTCTGAGATCATGACCTGAGCCGAAACCAAGAGTTGGACACCTAACCAACTGAGCCATCCAGGGGCCCCCTATTTTTCATTTTTTGAGGAACCTGCATACTGTTTCCAACTGTGGCTGCACCAATTTGCATTCCCACCAACAGTGCATGAGGTTCCTTTTTCTCCACATCCTCACTAATGCTTGTTGTTTCTTGTGTTGTTGATTTAAGTCATTCTGACAGGTGTGAGGTGGTATCTAATTGCGGTTTTGATTTGCATTTACCTGATGATCAGTGATGTTGAGCATCTTTTCATGTGTCTGTTGGCCATGTGTATGTCTTCTTTGGAGAAATGTCTATTCGGATCCTCTGCCCACTTTTAATCAGATTAAAATTGTTTTGTCTACTTTTAAATTTAAATGTTGATGTACTGTATATTCCATTGCTTAAGTAGCCTTTTTCACAAAGTTTTGGAGAATGTATTCTATTACATAAGCAATCTTTTGAACGGTTATGGAGTATTTTGCTGTATGAATATTCACCAATTGTTGTCTGTTCTTCTATTATGCTCATGTGGACCGGTTCGAATCAGTGCTGGTAGTAAAGGGTCTTTTCTCAGGCCAGACTTTTTTAAAAGACTGTGTCCGGGATCCACTGACCTACATGCATATAAGCAGTCCAGAAAGCAGGCAGATGTACGCTGAGCGCCACCCCACCAAGAGAGCTGCGTGGCCAAGCATGCTTGTTCCTACAGCCTTGATCTTGAAAGGAGAAGCCAGGAGGAGCTCAGCACAACTCACATCACATGTGCAAGCTTGAGATGGTGGGATTCTTCTGGCAGCTTCCAAAGGTGTCAAAAATGAAGAGATGGTCCACAGTTTTGTACAGGTGAAATCTCCCCAAAATGTTCTTTTTTCGGGAAGCAATTGAGTTTATGCTGTATTATGATTTTTTAAAAATCAGTGTATTATACTGGCTGATTATATTTTAATGTGTTCAGTTAGAATTCAGGGAAGAATTAAATGCTCCCGAGGGAAACACAAAGGTCACTACGACAGGGTGGCAATGAAAGCAGCATTGGACTGGGGATGTCTGGCTGCTCTCTGCCCTTCTGTTGCAATATAGACTCTGGCTCTGGGGCTGGGCTCCTTCCACCACCACCCCGTACATGCTCCTGTGTCCTAGTGTGGGTTACCTGCTCCCGGAGCTCTGGTCCTTCTCCCCTGGTTCAGCCCCCACCCCTTCCATATTCTACTTCCTGGGCTATCTCCCCCAGGTCACCTTCCGACACTTCAAACATACAGAAAAATTTTGGCTCTCGTATTTCATTTCACAAAGTTCTCTTATCTGATTGCTCCTCTTATCTTTTATTGGGTTCTGCCCTTATTTCAGAGAGGCAACATTGTATCATATTTTTATGGATATTTATCATTTTTTTGTAAACAAGATTTCTTGTGTTTCTTTTAAGGCTCTGTTGCTGGACTTTCCCTTTGTTACAGTTTGCCTGTTTATTCTCTTTTTTAAGTTAAGTTGAAGGCTTTCCTCAGATACCTACAAATGCAATTTCTCAGTAAAACTGAATGCTCATCTTCAGTTTTACTAGATGCTGCCAAACTGTTCTCCAAGAGACTGCACCATGTCAGTGTCATGAGCAGAGACGAGCATTCCTGGGACCACCCTCACCCACTGGGGTTGGTCATCGGCAGTGCCCAAGATACAATACGGCACCACCATGCCTTCACATGGACTTCGCTACATTTCAGGGGATGAGTCTCAGACACCGAATGCCCTGGACCAGAGCCCCCTTTAACGTCATGTGTTCTATCTTGTTCTTAACTGATGTACCTTAGTGTTAAATGTTTCCTCCTCAACTGCTTACATTTTTAGGCCTTTAATATATACTTTGGTCTTTCTTGGATCAGACATATTTTCTTTCTGGGGAGGGTTTTTTTTTCACTGAAATAATTCTCTTTTAAAATTGTTTTATATATATATTTTTAATCTAGCTAGCAAATAAGAATAGGGCATTGGATTAACATATTTCCTATTGCTTTTGTTTGTAGAATTCAACATTTTAGATCTTTTGAAAAGAAGTGTATGGTGAGTTTCAGTAAAAGATCCTTTATTCTCTTATTTAAACTCTCTGCATAGATCTATTTATCCAGTGATACAAATAGGAAAGCCCCATGCTACACAGACTTATTTCAACTACACATGCTGGTGCTTTCTGTCCTTATAAAATGTGAAATATTCTCATGGGAAAGCAGAAACATGCTTATTGGCATTTCTAAAGGGCAGTTATATGAAAGAATATCTTTGCAGGACTAGGATACTCATTTGAAAGACTAGAACTAATTAGGATGAATTCAATTCACTTTCCTTGAGAAAAATCTTCAGTGGTAAATTTTGAAAGATGAGGGAAGAATTTGTGTTATTTTAAAATAAAACGTGATTGATTTTTTTTATCTAGATTTTTCACTTGGACCAAATCAGAAACATATTTATCATTATTCTCTCTCCCTGGGTCATATGGACACATACACATGCCAAAAGTATTCCATCAAAGGCTAACACTTCATTACCCAAATGGAGTACTATTTTTATCAGGCAATTCAATTATGAAATGACTTTCATTTTTATTATCTAAATTATCTATTTCTATATATATATACACATACATATGTATATATATAGAGATCTTTTGTTTATTATATTATCTATATTCTATACTAATATTTGCTGAAGTTTAACTCAAGAAAATGAAGAAATTATATTTGGTAATTATTGTGGAAAATTATAGGAGAAAAATGATTTTGTCAGTTTTCTTTTTGTTTGCAGCTTGTTGGACATGTATTTTGTGGATTACCATAAAACCCAATGTTTGCATATCCGTTGCTATGAAACTGGAGATGAAGTTTCTTCAAGAATATTTACTTCTGGAGACATTTCAACTTCTCATCAGCTCTGTGTGCTGGAAAAGAGCAGTCTGGTGGGCAAGGGTGACCCACAGTGAGCTGGTGGTGAAGGAGGCATCCCTGAGGAGCCGCAGGATGTCTCGGACCTGCTTGCCTAGAGGAAGACTTGCCAGGATTTGGATGCTTAACATTACGCGTCAACTCGACTGATTCACAGGTAAACGTTACTCTGGGCGTGTCTGTGAGGGAGTTTCCAGATGAGACTGGCATTTGAATGGGCGGACTGAGCAAAGCAGATCCCCCTCCCCAGTGTGGGGGCTCATCCAATCTCTCTAGGGCCTGAAGAGGACAAAAGGTAGAGGCAAGTTGGATTTTTTGCTCTTTCTCCTTGGCCGTGGAGCTGGGACATCAGGCTTCTCCTGTCTTTGGATTGGCACTGACCCCACCGGCCCTCCCAGGTCTCCAGCTTGGCAGACCTTGGGACTTTCCGGCCTGCGTAATAGCATGAGCCAGCTCCTGGTCGTAAATCTTCTGCAGGGTAGCCCAGTGGTTGTGATTCTCTGGAGAACTCTAATACAAGAGTCATTAAATATTAATATCTAAAAGAAGCAAGATTCAGACTATGCACTTTTAAAATGTCCAAGGAGAAGCTGAGATGAGAAAACAAATATTGACTCATCTTAGTACATAACAAGCTTTTACCCTCTAATAAGGGAAGTAAAATTTTAAAAAGAGGAAGCTAGCTCAAAACTGTGACTTGTAAAAATGTATATCTCAAACAACTTTTAAAACTAATTAACCGGTTCCCTGCTTTTTTTCTTTCAAGAGCATCCATTATGACCTTTTCTAATAAAAAATCAAATATTTAGAATAAGGGAATTTGTTAAATATTATCAGAACTGGTTATTTGAGAGAATATAATTTTAACCATTTCTATATTACATCAGAAGTTCTGTGATAATCGCTTTTGAATTGACAAAGGTTACTTTCTTCATGTATTAATAACAGTCACTATTCTATTTAGAAAAAAATAACAAAAAATAAAAATAAAAAATAAAATCTTAGAAAAAACAGGTTCATACATGGTATACAAAAAATTAATATAGAATATCTACTAATTCTTTAAAGTCTTGGGGTATTGTTTTATTTAATATTATTTTGAGAACTGAAAAAAACTACTCACATGACTTCTACCTTAATCAATAGAATGAAAAGTCAAGTGGTACTAAAATAGTGAGTCTTTGCTCTTTCTCCTTCTCCCTTTCTCCCAGAATCTGCATCAGACCTCACATCGGAAGGGAACAGTGCACACACAATAAGACAATGCTCCCTCTCCTTGCAAGTAATCTTGTGTGAAGACCTCAGGAATCATCTTTCTTCATCCAGGTATTTGATCTAGGAAATCTATCCTACCTGAAATGCTTCCTTGTCCCTTTCAATGACATGTGTCATGTGAAGCAGGAAGGATTACACCTGAAATCCTAAATCCTCTTCAAGTCTAGTTCTTACCGGAGGAACTCTCCGGATATTTCTACATCTTTGGCTGTATAATATCAATTGGCCCAACACTTTTCTAACATCTTACTTCTCCTGTGATTTAGCTTTGCTTCATTTCTCCACTTTCCAGGATTCAATATTTTTCTAAAAGTTAATGTTGGCTGTACCCAATTTGCTGTAACCTCTTCTTTACTTTTTAGTGATCACTAAAGGATATAAAAATCAAAAAAATTAATGAAAATCCCCATTACACCACATTCGAATAAGACATGATCAAAACCAAAAATGTTTGCAAATCCTAAATGAAGCATCTTTTTTTTTTTTTTCGACTAGAACCTGTGTCTCCAGGCTAGTACATATTATTCAGGACTATTTGTGTTGTATGCGCCAACAAACCCAACTTAAACTGGCTTAACAAAAATGGGAAAACCTCAGCTCATGTAACAGAGACGTCTACAGGTAGAGCTGTTTTAAATTGGATTTGATGCAGGGATCAAACTGTATTACTAAGATCCCAGGGTGCCTGGGCTGCCCCCATGTCTTTTCCACTGACACCATCAAGCCCAGAGGAAGAGCTGAGGCTCCTCTTCACATTTTCTCACTGTGTTAGGCACCTGGCTTTTCACCAGTCATTACATTTGAGGGGCGTGGGATGTACTGATCAATTTCAACTGACTGATCCAACCCGAGGAGCTGGTTGTGGAGTCTATCCCCCCAAAACAGGAAAAAAGGAGAGGTTTCCTTTATCGAAATTTTGGGTTCTTTTATTACCATAGGTAGGAGAATGGATGTTGGTCAGCTAAAAATTAATGTTCTGAAATTGGAGTCCAAGGATATTTAGAGTTTTGTGAATGGACTTCAAAGAGTCTTGAAATTCCTTGAAATTGTATGTCAAAAAATATAGGGGAAAACATCCCTATCTTTAAAAATATTTTGTTGGCCTCAAATTAATAACCACTACCAGTGAGTCTATATATCTAAATATGCTGATAGAAAGGAGCTTAACTATAACAATTTGCCAAAGACATCATCACCATCAATTATCTGTGATTACTTATCTTTCTTTCTTTGAATAGCCCATTTTTTAACAGATGAGGATGCTTGATACTTATTACTTGATTTAGATAGATATTTAGACAGAAAATCAACAAGATGTTTGTATTCCGTTGTGGCAAGAAATAGGGTTATTGTAAAGAGATTACTCAAAATAAATACATGACTTTGTATTCTGTGAACCTGCTTTTAATAGTTTCTCTTTTCATTAGTGGGAACAAATAAAACACTGTAAGAGAGATCAAGAGCATTGGAAACACTGGAAAAGAGGAATGCAAGACAGTAAACTTGTAATAAACTGTCCTTTAATGGGACCATTCTGCAAATACTTTAAAAATCATAATAGTAATAATGGCAATAATAATAATTAGGACTTTCAGTCTGTAGTGTCTTCCTACTAAGGCCTATAAAGCATTTCGATATAATGGGATAATATTCATGACAAAGGAATAGTCATAGCCATAAATGTCCATGGCACTTAAGCACTAATGAGGAACTCTGGCATTTCATGACTTGTAAAAGCATTTCCTCTAAGTACTTCTCAAAGACAGGAACACCATCAGTAATAGCTAGAGGCAGGGAGAGGGAAAGGAAGGTGAATGGGGTCAGTAGACAAGGGGCAGAGTTTTTTTCACTGGTTATCAGCAAGGGTGTGGGGGCAGGGGTGGGGAGAGGTATTATAATCAACTCTTTTACACATGGAATCTAAACATTTACTGACCGCCTATTCTAGGACACACGTGGGGAGCTCTGAAATTCAGAGTTTCATGCCTCCCTGAATCACCTCATCGTATCCAGAAGTTGGCCCAGCATCCTTTCCTCCATCTGCATGGTGGCTGCCTCACCTAGTTCAGGACTTCAGCTTTTTCTTGGAGTAAGCTAAATGGTCTCCCCAATGTGTCTATCCTCCAAACTCAAAGTAGAGTGAGATTTCTGAAACACAAATTGGACCTCCCACTCCTTAAAATTACCAGTGGCTCTCAGTTGCATTCAGGGTGAATGTCCCCTGCCCTCTACAACTGTGCTCTGTCCAGTTTTTTAGATGGTGGTGTTAGGAATCCTAGCTCTGGAGTTAGGGCCCTAGCTCTGGGGACTTGAGAACCCCCTTAACATCATTATGGATCAACTTCACCTATAAAACTAAGATAAAAATGAGTCCTGCTTTGTTGATATGCTCTGAGAATTAAGGGAGAAATGAGAGGCTCGAGGGGCCCTGGTGTAAGTATTCACCTGAAATGTCTGGATGAGGTCAGCCTCTCTGAAGAGTTCCATTGGAACTGGCTATTAGTGGTGTTTGAAGTCCACCTTCATCCAGTGCTGAGCTGACAGTGGGCCCTGGAGGCCACCCATCTGCTGGGTCATACAACTAACTTCAAGGCTCTGACCCCAGCATCACACATACACACAGGAGTACTCAGAGAGGAGTAATTCAAAGGGAGGGGGGTGGTTAGAACTTGGGCTTATGGAGCATCTTAGCAAAAGAACATTACATTTGTAGAGAGGTGACAAGACGAAGGAAAAGAATTTTGAGTTCCTAGGGAAGCAAATTATAGGGAGGCGGGTCTCTGGGGAGCTAGTGGGAGATAAAGCCTAGTTAGTGTGAGGTTTGCTGTGTGGACTCCTCTGTGCCATCTCTGGGCTAATCAGGGTCTAGAGTTATCTCTGGTGATTAACTTCTGTCCTTCATGGTGGGGGAAGGGAGCACCTTTACAAACTTACGTCCTGTTTTGAGGCAAATGAGGGGAAGACAGAGGGCTTTTCTTCTACCTGCTCCTTCTCAATTATCTTCAGCTTAGAAAAATCCTTCTGCTAAAGTGGTATCATTTGGGGTGGCGTCGTCTGAACCCCTTCAGTGTCTTTGATGCTTTCTTGGAGATCAGTCCATCCAGATCCGCTCAGTTGCTGCCACACTCATAGATCATGTGAAACGCTCAATAAAAGGACCACTGACAAATGACTCTCCATCCATCTGGCTTCAGTCCTTTGCCCTCTGAGATCTTCTCTTTCTTTCTCCTTTGAAAGCCTTCTTTTCTTTCCTCCCCTTAACTTCAGTCTCCCTGGGGATTCATCTCTGACTCTTCTTCTCTTCCAATCCTGCTGACTGATCCCTTCCCAAAGCCCACATCTCTTCCTTGAACTCCAGAGCTGTGCATCCACACCAGAGGTGGTCCTGTTGCAAGCGAGCCACCCTGCCATCACTCCCATTGGCTTCCTCCCTGCCTTCCTCCTGCCCTCACAGAGGAAGCCACAGAGCCCCCAGGCCAGACATACCATGGTTACCCTCAGTTCCTGCTTGTTCCTCAGCACCTCCTTCCCAATCACATTTACATTTCCCTCAGCTCTGACTCTGCATTCCTGAAACCTTCTTCCTCCCTCCTACGTTGTTGCCTGAGCTCAGCTTCTCATCACATAGTACTGGGATTGCCCCAGCAGCCTCAGGCTGACTCTTCCTGTCACAAATTTTGCCCTCTTCAGATTTATTGCATCTTCTGTGAGCTGAGTGTTCTTACTGAAATGCAAATTTTATACCCGAGTTACCCTGCTTAGAACCATTGGCACTGAACATCATACCATCTTCCTCACTTTCCCAGATTCCAACTGCAGCTCGGCTCTGAGGAATGGATGTCCGCCACCCTTAGGAGATAACCCTGGCATGACAATGGCTTTTGGGGTGCAGCAGGTGTTACTCCCGGGCAGGAAGCACTTTGATACCTGTGTCTGGCTGAGGGCTCCTGGGACCCGAGGAGCACAGCCACTCTCCACACACTGTCCCACAGAGGGGGGACCAGGTGAGCAGCCTGAGAAAGAACAGACAACACTGGCTCCCTTTGGCCACTCTCCGTTTTAGAGGCCTGCTTCTCTGTTGCTTTAGTCTGAAGGGCAGCAGGATCTGCCACCTCAAGATGTGCGGCTATGGCATACTGGTTATTCTGAGCTGAAGGCTTTGAAAGAGATACTGGGGTACTTTTTCTGCATTCCTCCCACTGAATGAAGACAGATTCTCCAAAAGGACCTCAATGTCCTCAGTCCCCTTCCCAGGAGCTTCACCAACCAGTAAGACTGACTCTTGTCTCAGGAGAGGAGACATGAAGTTGACCCCCACCCAGAAAGATTATCACAAACCCTCACCTTTGCATCTGTCCTCCTAAGGGCCCAGCCATCTCCCCTAAACAGTTCACTCCCCTGAGATGCCTCCACCCCTTGCCATCTCTACTAGGATGGTATGTGGGCCTGAACGTAAGGCACCCAGAGCGTTGTTCATCGTCCTCGGTATCTCCCATGTGCATGTGGCATGTCCATATTAATTTTTTTTTCTTGTTCATCTGTCTTTCATTTTTTTTTAAAGATTTTATTTATTTATTTGACAGAGAGAGAGATAGCGAGAGGGGAACACAAGCAGGGGGAGTGGGAGAGGGAGAAGCAGGCTTCACGCTGAGCAGGGAGCCTGATGCAGGGCTCGATCCCAGAACTGTGGGATCATGACCTGAGCCGAAGGCAGACGATTAACGACTGAGCCACCCAGGAACCCCCATCTGTCTTTCATTATAAGAGTCTCAGTCAAGAACTCCAAAGAGTAGAGGGGGATTATTTTTCCTCCCCCCACAGCACCCAATATCTCAGTGTTAGTGAAAGGACCCTTCCCATTTGACCACAGCCCTTCTTTCTCCAAACACAAAATGGGATATTTGGGCTTCAGAGGACAGATCTCAGGAGTCAAAGCCAGGCTGTTGCACAATATCCGGTCCTGCCGTTGGGCATTCACAGGACATGATTCAGCTTCAGAGAAGCTGAGTCTGGGTCCAGGCCACCGGTTTACTCTGCATATTCAGTCCCAACTGCGTGCCAGGGTGGGCCCTCCCCAGAGTCCTCCTGCAGCTTTGTCCCCTTGGCTAGACCATAAATTCCTGTAGGCCAGACATGAAGTCTGAATTATTTTGGGACTGTCAGAGCTTAGCATGGTACCTAGCACATAGCAGTCACCCAAAAAATGTTTAATGAGTGAATGCATTCATTGCCTCCTATTTCGATTTATTGTCATCAAGCAGGCAATACTTCTACAGCTCAGTAATGAAATTACTATTTTAATTATTCTTGTAAGTTAGAGATGTCCATTAGTTTTCCCCCAAACTGTTGCCTGGACAGAGTGAACTGAACAGGTAAGAGGAGGTGGCCAGATCTACCGACCTGAGACTGCAGAGGCCGCAGGTGGGTATGGGAGCAGTTGCTCCTGGTCAGGCCTGGTGCTGAAGAACTTACCTTCGTCCCCTCTAATTTTCCCAACAGCACCAGGAGGCTGGTGTTACTCCATCATCTCCTGAGCCGGCTGAGGTTCAGAGACCAAGTGATTCGCTTAGATGCTCCTGTCCCCATGTCCTGCCCAAACAGCTCAACACACACACCCCTCTGGAAGGATCCCCTTGGCACCAGGACCCCCACCCTACGGGGGCTGCATACTGGGGGCACTGGGCAGGGGCGCAGGTTGGGGGGACATACAGGGCATGCAGGAGGGTACCCTGAGAGGGACCCCCTCAAAGGTACAATCAGTAGGACTTTGAAGCAGGAGACACAGCCTTAGGCCCCAAGCTCAGGGCCCTTGATCCTTGGACCCATGTGCCCTGACACTGCATAATACTCTTGCAGTAATTAAAAGTAGTATTTCAATATCAATCACAATGATTCTTTTCAATGTCTTTTAGTTTCCCAGGGTATATTTATTTTGTCATTACTTTCTAAAGGAAGTAAGTAATTACCAGGTAGTACATTAACATTATTAAAATCATTAAAGCTCATGGAAACACCAAATATTTCAAGTTACGTGTAGAATTTAGTATAAAGAATAAGACTTCTTTAAAATGCTACTCAAGGAGGTGTAATTACCAAAAACACAAACAAACAAACAAAAAACAAAGATTATCACCAGAGCTCCCAGTAAGAATACAAGTACTGTTGGAACATATACCAGGACGGTACTTCTGAGGAGTGAGAAGGGCAGATAAGATGTTAGGGATAGATCATGTGACGCTGCCAAGTTGGACTGAAGCCATCAGCATATTAACTTTACATTGTGGCCCTGGACTGTGAAATGGATATTTACTGTGTTCTGATTTAAATATTGTTAAAACTGCACACAAGATCATAAACAAAAAAACCGTAAGGCCATCATGAGCATGAATGTGGTGGGAAGAATCCTTTCTTTAAAACCCGGATGGGGGAGTGTCTTCCTGTGAAATTTATTATTTTCACATTCTCATGTTTGGGTCTGAGGGCCTCCGTGTAGATGTGCACAACTTTGAAATATTAATTACAGTCGGGATTTTTTTAACATTAATGAAAGCCTTATGTATGCGACATTTTTCCAAAAATGTGAGAATCTCCCCCCCCACCGCCCTCCCTCCTCCTTCCTCTCAACCCTTTTGGAATATGTGCAAAACACTTCCAAGTACAGAATGTACTTTTATTCAGTGTAGTCAATTTTTCCTAATGACCATTTATATAAACCTTGGTAATGTTGAGAACAGAGAATTCCTGCAGCAATATAAATAGCTTGCAAGAACTCTGCCCTTGACCCCCACCGCACCAAGGGAATAAGTGGTTTGTAATTACTGTATTCTGTTAGGGGCCCGTACCCAACAGACGCTGACATGGCCGCTCCCGCTTTCTTTGGCTGGTCAGCGATTCCGGCACTGAGGCCCAGCCAGCATTGGGCTGATGATCGGGGGCACCCCGGGGCTGCCTGTATTTTCTAGTACTAGACAACACAGCCGATGTTCACCAAGAAATATATTAACCAGGATAAGACTGTCCAGAAGAAAAGCATCTCCAAATTAAGATGCAGGAACTAGGAAGTCCGCCCACAACTGCTGATGCATCCTCATAGACCTTGAGCCTCTCAGCTCTGGTTTGGGGGAAGCATGTGGAAATGCCCCACGGGAAGCCGTATGCTGGACTACTCAAATTACAGCTTCAGAATAAACATAAATTTCCTGAAAATCCAGATAATACCTTTTGTTCTCCCATTTTCTCCGTCTAATCAGGGTTAGGTTCACCGAAAAACACAAAGTTTTCAGACTTCACCGTTCATAATCCACTTTCTACATTTTCTTCTCCCCAAACCCACTTCCTAGTGGTATGTAAGAATTTTTTACAAACACTGGACATCTAAACAATTCTCAGTGCTTTGGTGGGAGCAGCTCAACACAGAACAATTACCTTTCACTCACATGATAAAGTGAGGTTGTAGGAGGTACTCATAATTCTCCAGAAGACTCCATCTTTTTTATTTTATTTTAAAGATTTTATTTATTTGCGAGAGAAAGAGCACAAGCAGGGGAAGGGGCAAAGGGAGAAGGAGAGGCAGACTCCTCGGTGAGCAGGGACCCTGATGCGGGACTCGATCCCAGGACCCTGAGATCATGACCTGAGCCGAAGGCAGACCCCCAACCAACTGAGCCACCCAAGCACCCCAGAAGACTCCATCTTTCTGTGATGATCTGGTTCTGGAGGTGCCGCCCCACGCAGGGAGAGAAGTATTCAAATGTCTCCGGGTCTACACGATACAAATATAAACTCAGTTCTCCCTATGTTGAATCATTACCACGAATTTATTGTGACACCTTTAAATACCTGTGAATAAACAGCATTGTCTCATGGGTGCTTTGTTTATGACTACAGAGAAAAGGAGCGCTTTGGGATTCTGAGGTTCACCTAGTTATTACGTGGTTTCTTCTGTAAATGTGGCCTGAGGGAAGTGTGGGCTTCTGCGGAGTGCCGAGCAGAGGTGTGGACACCGACCCCCATGTCACCTTTGATTTTTAGCCCATGCTGATGCTGTGATAATGTTCTTAAGTCTATGTAACAATTTTCTGCTTAAGTTTAATTCCAAAAGAGGGTAGACATCTCTGCAAATGATTACAATGTTTTCTCTCCTTAGAAAAGACTGGTGCAATGGGGCATATTCTTTTTATTTTCTCAGCTATCAAAAATCTTTAAATGAAATGGGAGGACAATTGTAGTGTTTAATATTCTCTTATCACAGGTAGGAATCTTACCCTTTAGCTGTTTTTGGATGATTCCTTCACTCTTTAAAATCTCCAAATTTTAGGTTTAACTACTTTGCATTGCATTTTAACTTGTAAACGAACTCTATCCCTGACAAAGAGTAAAAAACAAACAAAAATGCCTTCATAATAGGAGAAGATTCTGGTTTTATTTATGCCACGGAGAGGCCTTTAATTATAAACACAGGATGGGATTTTCTCCTGCCCACCCCAATACTCAGTGTAACAGTTGGCACAGATGATTCTAAACACTGACAACCAGCAAAGTCACCACCAAAGTCAACCAGCAAGTTCAAAGAGGTGGTGGGAACAGTAAGAGCAGAAAGAAAGAAGGAAATCAGAATCTCCATCAGAACCACCCTGCCCAGCAGCTTGAGGACCATGTACAGCCTCAGGGCTACCTCCGGCCAGCCCACTCTGCCTTTCCTTGGTTTTCAGTGAGGTTTTGCCTCTCAGGCCCCAGGTTTGCTTCATCACTAGGAGACACTCAGGATCCCAAGGCGATGTCCCTCTGTAATCATTCCCTCTGACCTGGGCTCCTCCTGTCCAGCACTTTTCATCTCTCCGTGGACAGTGGCCACAGGGGGCTCCCTGGCTCTCCTTGTGCACTTCTCCTGGGAGGTCTGAATCCCTGTCCCCACTCCCCACTGCGTGCCTTGTTCCCTCCTTATCCCATGGCATGATCAGATCACAGTTCTTAAATGTCTTTTGTTTCAAATTTAAGCTGTGCTTATGGGAAACTTTCTTTCTGTGAAACTGTGAGAGAGGAGGACTGGGGGGCCTCTGTTTTTCTTCCATGGCTAACAGAACTAAAATGATCACTCCCTCCTTTCCCCACCAGCACCAGAGTCTCCTTATATCATCCTAGTCCTGCTCCACAAAGCTGAAGTGCTTTCCAGTGAGAGCAAGGTATTCTACAGTGAGAGCAAGGTATTCCACAGTGATAGAATGCACAATTCGCTCATATTTAATAGGTGCAATGTAATCATTGCCCTTCCAAATGCTTTCTTTCCTTTTCCTACTTTTTTCCTCCTAGGTTAACTGATAAAAAAAAAAAAATGTTCTTTCTTATCAGAGTCTAACATGGGGAAAAGGCTGAGATGATCCTATTACTGAGTTTCATCACACATACCATGTCAAACATATTTTTACAGCCCCTCTTTGACTACACTCCATGCCCTGACCACCATACGTTGATGACAAACGTCTAGCATTTCTGGAGCACTGCTATGTATCCTTTGCATGAATACAAAAAGCAGGACTCTATATTCCACCCCAGAGATCTAAATATTGAATAAATCTTTAAAAACATACTTCTAAGACACACAAGAATGTCGACTCTAACCGTCCTAAATGTGTTCATCAAGGTACTTGCCTGGTTCCTCTGAAAGTGAAGCTCAAAGGTGGCCATATTTGCTACACATAGCCGTTTACATATGGTTTGGGGGTTAAGGGTGAGCACCTGATCCAAGCCAGCAAGCTCTAGGCTGGTCTGTAACCTATAACTTGTAAGGTACAAAAATTCTCTTCTCAGGAATTGGGTCTGAGACTACACAGTTGCCCCTGCTTATCTGCAGTTTTGATTTCCATGGCTTCAGTGACCCACACTTAACCACACTCCAGAGCAGATGTTCCTTGACGACAGCCTTACCCCTCCGTCCCAGTGCCCCGTCACACCCCTCACTGCATCTCATCACGTGGGCATTTTATCATCTCCCATCATCACCAGAAGAAGGATGAGGACAGTACAAGAGGATATTTTGAAAGAGAGACTACATTCACATAACTTTTATCACAGTATATTGTTATAATTGTTCTACTTCATTATTGGATACTATTGTTAGTCTCCTAATGTAATTTATAAATTAAACTTTATCATAGGTAGATATGCATAGAAAAAGACATGGTACACACAGAATTTGGAACTATCCCTGGTTTCAGGCATCCCCTGGGGGGCTTGGAACATATCCCCGCAGGTCAGGGGGGATGTCTGTAGTTAGCAGCGGAAGCTGAAATACTAACAAAAATTATGGTTAACCTTTGAAAGTACAATAAGCTATTCTTGTCCCAAAAGACATTAATTTCCTAGAAGATCATGTTTTTCTGAAAGAAGACTACTACACTAATATTTTGAAAACATTTTGAAAATGTGACTGTATCTTTCAAAGTGTTTGGGATGGTTGTCTTCACAGGATTTGGCAAGAAAATATGGAGAGACTAAAAGGAAAAATAAACTGCTTTCACTGGAGATACATCTAAAGAACAATTGGTTAACTGAAACCATTTTCCTTTGACATTTAATGCCTCCCTTGAACAAAAGGTTTCCAAGCTGCTCCACAGCTTGACTCTGAATGAGTTCAACGATTAATTTATCTGATGAAAGGTGCTCCATGCCTCACTATGTCCTCGAACAAAGAGAAATTGATTCTTCAATATCATTATTTTCACATGGTAAGTGGTAGCACAAATGATTCATTTATAATTCTCTATGCATAAACCTTTAGATTATGACAGGTTATTGAAATACTTCAAGCTATTTATCATGATCTCATCAGCAGTACCCAGACAAAGAACTAATCTTATCAATTCTGGAGTGGAAACATAAAAACAAAACAAGGTGACTTTTGTTTTGTCCACTTGCTATGTAAAGTATGGCTATGCCTCCGAATGGGTGAAATCTTTCAATACTGCATATGTTTTAGATAGTGTATTCTTGCAGAATGCTTGCTATGTCCAGCTTCATGACTGACCAGGAGTTGCCTTTGAATTTAGGTGGTTTGCCTGCTATGCTCTGGTCTTAATTATCTTAGTTGCAGTGGATGCTTCATCCAGTAATACACATATAATAACATGTGACTTGACTGAGTTGTAATGAATGGGCTGAACTGTGCTATAGTCTAAATATCTGTGTCCCCCCCCACCCCAAATTCACATGTTGAAATCTAACCCCAGTGTGATAATATTAGGAGGCAGGGCCTTTGAGAGGCCACTAGGTCATGAGAGGGGACCCTCATGAATGGATTAGCATCCTTATAGAAGGAATCCCAGAGAGCTCCCTTGCCCCTTCCACCATGCAAGGACACGGTGAGAAGATGCTGTCTATGAACCAGGAAGTGCGTCCTTACTAGATACCAGATCTGCTGGTCCCCTGATCACAGGCTTCCAGCCTCTAGAACTGTGAGAAATATATTTCCATTGCTTATAAGCCAGACTGGATGTCTATGGTATTTTGTTGTAGCAGCCTGAAGGGACTAAGACAAATTGTGTTTCCCAAAAGATATGCTGAAATTCTGACCCCCAGCACCTGTAAATGTGCCCTTACTTAGAAACAGGGCCTTTGAAGATAATCAGGTTAAGATGATGAAGTCATACTGGAGTAGGATGATATCCTTATAAGATGTGAAGAGACGTGGACACAAGGAGAAGGCCATCTGAAGACAGAGGCATAGACAACAGGGATGCACCTACAAGCCAAGGAATCCCAAGGATTGCTGGCCACCACCAGAAGCCAGGAGAGAGGTAAGGAACAGATACTTCCTCTGAACCCCCAAGAGGGAACAAAGCCTGATGAACTTTGACTTCAGACCTCTGGCCTCCAAAGATGTGAGAGAATGCATTTCTGTTGTTTTAAGACACCCAGTTCATAGTAATTTTTATAGCAGCCTTAGGAAACTCATACATGTGGAAATGAATGTATATTTTCTATATGAAGTTAATACATGAAACAATCAGTTTTAAAAAGAGAAACACTTCTTGAAATACAGTTAAGATTACTGAGTATCTGTCTCTTTATCTCTGTCTCTGTCACTCATTCATAATTTTGTGCGTGCGCACATCCATTCTACCTAATGGGTTTAGAGCTTATCTTTTTTCTTCAGGGTTTCACTTTATAGAAATGAGTTTTATTCATTCATTTTTTTATTTTATTTTTATATAATTTTTATTATGTTATGTTAGTCACCATACAGTACATCATTAGTTTTTGATGTAATGTTCCATGATTCATCGTTTGCGTATAACACCCATTGCTCCATGCAGTATGTGCCCTCCTTAATATCCATCAGTGGGCTCACCCATCGCCCCCAACCCCCTCCCCTCTAGAACCCTCAGTTTGTTTCCTGAAGTCCATAGTCTCTCATGGTTTGTCTCCCCCTCCGATTTCCCCCCCTTCATTTTTCCCTTCCTTCTCCTAATGTCCTCCATGCTATTCCTTATGTTCCACAAATAAGTGGAACCATATGATAATTGTCTTTTCAGAGCTTATCTTTATATGGGGATTTTACATATACTCAAACCAGGTAAAATAGAAAAGAACAAAACAGAAATCAAGGAGTCTGATGGTAGATTAGAGAATGCAGCCTCTGCTTGTATGTCTTCTCCATCCCTTTCTATCTCCATTATGTTACTTTGCTTTCATAGAACCATGGAATGGGATCTCCAATTTTGAGTCGTTTTACACAATGGACTGTATGTAAATCGAGTGTTAAAAATCTGTTTTATTTTTATGGAAAATTGTTTTACCTATGGCTGCCAACAAAAAGCTTTATTCTCCGGCGCCTGGGTGGCTCAGTCGGTTAAGCGACTGCCTTCGGCTCAGGTCACGATCCTGGAGTCCCTGGATCAAGTCCCGCATCGGGCTCCCTGCTCGGCGGGGAGTCTGCTTCTCCCTCTGACCCTCCCAACCCTCCCCCCTCTCATGCTCTCTCTCTCTCAGTCTCTCTCTCAAATAAATAAACAAAATCTTTAAAAAAAAAAAAAAAAGCTTTATTCTCATTTTTTTTCCAAAAATCCAGAAAGCAATTCTTATTTTTGTGTGTATGTGAGTACACTTATAGAACAATGTAATGCTGAGATTATGGCTTATTCTCTGAAAACATCAAAAAGTGGGTTTCATTTCTTTGCCATTTTGAAATTCCCTGAAGAAAGGGCTTCGGTTTTGATGGTTGTTATATTCTCCAGACTAACTACAGTGCCTCTCACTATGATGGATTTATAAGTATTGAGTCTATAAAAAAATTATTAGAAGTGATCATCACAAGTAAAATCTTCATAAAAATCATTTTTTCTATTTAGGTTGCCAGGCACTTCCATCTTGGTAGCATTTTGAAAGCAGGCACAGGCATGTTCAGTACTGTATTATTTTTTCAATGTGAAGTTTTTGTTGTTTTGTTTTGTTGGTTAAAAGCAAAGTCTACAGAGTATATAAGTTTTGAGAAGTATTTTTTCTCATTGAGCCATATATATTTTAAAATATGTAGAAGTAAAGAGACATCAAAGTTTAGTGTCGGTCTCAATGCTCTGACAAGATCAGCTGCTGTTCGTTGACTGTTCAGGAGGCCAAAAAGTGAGTGCCTCCATCATTTCTGGTGTCTCTGAGCTTGAGTAATGTCTGTGAGCTTCTAGGTTTCCATCCTACCTAAACAGGGTAACACATCCGTTGTTTGGACAAGGAATGCCATTCTGATTTATTGTTAGTATTTGAATATTGACTGTCAAATGAACTTGTAACCTCGAGGGAGAAATCTGTGTGCTTTATGTCACAAAATGCATTGAGAATTTAAAGTATAATATATGTTTATTATTGCTACCTTAAAACACATATCTGTAATAACGCTTGTGAAAATTATTAATTGTATATATAGGTATGATGTTAAGAACTTTTGAATAGTTGAGTAGAGAACTAGATTAAAGTAATGTCGTATTAAGGGGCAATCATTTGGAATGTTCCCTTACTAAGACCATTGTAACTTTCTGAGTCACAATATTTAAACCAAATACTTAAATTAAAATAATAATACAAAGTAGGTTAATAGAGATTTGGTTAAATTATAATTCTCTTTAGAAATATCTAGTGTATTGACGTTTGTAGTGGAAAGTAAAGTATCTTTTAAGAGCTATACTGAATTTGGGTAATTTAGACATGAATCTCTCAATAAAAAAAAAAAAAGAAAAGGGAAAAAGAAAGGAAAAGATAGGAAAAATACCCTTTAAAGAATGTTTCACATTTTATGAGGATGAGTTAAAAAAACATTAACAACTGTGCCACATTAAATTTTCTCAGTAAGGAAAAATTCCAAAATTTATTCCATACATGATAAAAGGAACATGGTAAAGACATAGCAAGAATAGCACACAAGTGTATCTTATAAAAATTGTAAAGAAAAGAACAAAATGATGGAAAAAAGAGGATTATATTTTTTCTTCCAGTTAATCTTCTTAATATTTATTTCAATCATTACAATAAGAACTCCTTAAAATTGATAAAATAAATTTCAAATTATTGCTATGAACACTGAATCATTTTCAGTAGCTAGAGATAAAGCACGTTTTATAGTTGTCCAAGCAGTAAATTCTTAGCACAAATTTTGTTCTAGAAAAAAAGGCTTCTGAAAATCTCTTCCCTGAATTATATTCAGCTGTGCACCGAAAGGCTCCTAATATCAACAAATGTGCCAGTTGGAACTGAGCCTCTATTTGGTGTTGCAAATATGAAAAGCATGTCATCAGGAGCAAAGCTGCAGCTGATGGCAATGGGATATTACCATTCTTGAATAAAGTCCAACTTTGAAAATTTGGGCCCACAATTAAAATAAAATTGCTGTGGTAATTATTTTGGGATTGTGCAGGTTCAGATTTATACTTGTGTACCAGAGAGTCATTCTGATGAAGAATCACCTTCAGCCTCGACGTCAGCTGTGTATTCATTTTAACATTGTGCCATTCATTGTCTCAGTCAGCTCAAGCTGCTATAACAAAATACCACAGACTGGTGGATTAAACAACAAACATTTATTTCTCACAGTTTAGGAGGATGGGAAGTCCCAGATCAAAGTGCCAGCACACCGGGTTCCTGGTGAGAGCTTTCTTTCTGGTGTGCAGACCTTCTTGCTGTATCCTCACAAAGAGGAGAGAGAGAGAGGGGGTCATCGCTTTGTGTCTCTTCATAAGGGCCCTAATCCTGTTCATGAAGGCCCCACACTCATAACCTGATAACCTCCCAAAGGCTCATCTCCGAATACCATCGCATCAAGAATTAGCTTTCAACATAGGAGTCTGGGCAGGGTGGGGCGGACACACAAATACTCAGCCTATAGTACAGTGTTAGGCCAATATATGTATTTCCCATTGGTTTCTATGAAAAGTATGGGACTATAATCTGATTTTTTTGTTTTTCAGTACAACATTACATACTCTAAACTCTCCTCTTGCCCAAATTTGAGGCAGGGGAATAAGTATTATATAGGTAGAATTTCATTTTATTTATTTATTTTATATTCAATGAGCCAACATATAGTACATCATTAGTTTTTGATATAATGTTCAATGACGCACTAGTTGCCTATAACACCCAGTGCTCATCATTTCATTTATTTTTTAACAGCTTTTTTTTCCCCTGTACCTTAAGAAGAATTTCTATCAGTGTGAAGAAATAATAGGAAATGAGTTAATTTAACATTAAGAAGAATAGCTACTAAATATTAGCTCTGATCTGAAATCAAGCTTGACTTAACCAAATTAGTTTGTCATTTTCACCTCTAAGTTGTATGATTTCTAGACATGGAAGACATGGTACAGGGGACCCATGACTAGGTAGAGAATTTAGCTAGAATTGGAAAAGTCCCCTTCCAATCTAAGATTCTAAAACTCTAGCTTTTATTTCAAAATCAACTTCACCTTTGCAATTAATCACTGATATCATCCATTTGTCTTTAATTGAATCAACCCGGTATTGAATGACTGTTTAGCATTGCACCATATACTTCACGAGCTTGTATTCCTGTTACAACTTTTTGTTTGTGAAATATAATGCTACGGAAGATGCACAATGTGGACACAGTAGCAACTGTAAAGCAAAACGCTGTGTGGCCAGGCCAGGGGACAGAGCATTACCAAGCCTGGAAGGACCCTCCACCCTGAGTGTCCCTCACATCAGCTCACCTTTTAGTGACTACCTACATAACCGTCCTAGTCATGAACAATCTCGATTAAATCAATTTTTTTAAAAAAGATTGTCTCTTCTGTAAATTAGAAATGGTGGTAATAATAAGAAAAATAGCAAGGTTATTATGAGAATTAAGAATTAAATAAAATAATGTAAAGCATTTAAAGCAAGGCTTGGCATGCAGTAATTTCCCAGTAAATATTGATACTAGCTTTAAGTAGTGGTTTCTATAGTAATATGAGCTATGATCAAGTTCCATAAAACAAAACAAAAAACCCCCAAAAACCAAGGACAAAGAGCCCAATACATGGTAGGCATTTATATGGAGAGCAGAGTGGGGCAGCCAGGAGGGAGACTTCTCAGGGAAGCTGGGACCTCAGCCACATCTTATGGGGAGATTTGCTCTCAGGGCACTTAAGACATTCCAATCAGGAGTGAAAATATGAGTAAATTTATTTTCAAACATGTGTTTCCCAACAAAAATGCCACCTCTAATATTTTCTCTGGAGTCATCTAACATGCTAGCTGAGCACATACTTGACTCTCAATTTTATAATACTTGTTTTTGTGGGTGGGGGTTGGGTTCTAGTCAATTATTGCAGATGAGAAATTTTCTTCCAAATGTAACAACTGGGAACCCAGTCGTTTAGTACACTGAAACTAGATGACTGAAACTAGATGTAGGTATGGCTTTTTTGTCACAAATTAATAAAGTATATCCTAACCCCCCCCATAAATTATTATGCCAAAGACCAGGCTGCCTGTGTAGGATTTCAACTTCAGTTTCCCATCAGTTATTTCCCCAGATTACATATTGACTTCATGTCTTAAACCCATGAGGTAAAAGATTATTGATATATAAATTAAAATAGTTTTTTCTTAACATCTGTTTATTTGCATATTGACCTTTCAATCATACAAGAATGTGAATTCATAAGGACACCTTCTTCTGTCTGTAATAG